CACTGGGGGCAATTTGCCCCAGGGCCCCAGTTTAAGGGGGCCCCCCAAATTTGCAAAAACTAAAAAAATAATTTCGAACGTTTTTTTATATAAATAAGGGTATGAGAAAAAATTTTCTAAACGAAAATTTTACATTTATTGATCGAAAAAAAGGGTTTTATCCCGGTGTTTTAACAGGAATTTGTCTCGAAAAAATTTTTTTGAACCTTAGTATAGCTAATGTTGGACCAGAAAATTTTTTTGATCCTTTTTTATTGTCATAAAAATCCTTTCAACTCCTCATCGACAGAGTGAAAGACAAAAGAAATAATCTAACCCTATCTCGTACCAATATACAATACATGAAATTTAATACGTCACCCCCAAAAAATCATACAGAATCCGAGCAACAAGAATATGTGAGCGCCGCCCCCGATTGAGTGCCGCCGCCCCCGATTGAGTGCCGCCGCCCCCAAATGAGCGCCGCATTTGATCAAATTTTTTTAAAGAGCGCCGCCCCCGAATGACGCACTAAACTAAGCAGTGTAAAAACTTGCCGGCGTCAAAATGGAGACATTTAGTGACAAAGACATTTAAAATTTTGTTTATTTTATTGTTAAAAGTTCTTGTTATGGTAATTCACAAATAAAACTTTCTTAAGAGCGCCGCCCCCGATTGAGCGCCGCATCTGAAGCTCTGAAAATTTAAAAAGCGCCGCGGCGCTCAAACGAGTAAATAGAAAATACGTACGACGTTGAAGAATGAGGATCTTCGTTCATGGAAAAGTGTGTGCATATAACGCAATTCCGGTCGGAGCCTTCCAGTAGCATGTGGCTGCTGTGGACTTATTATTATTATTATTATTATTATTATTATTATTATTATTATTATTATTATTATTATTATTATTATCTTCATATTTATCCAGGATACCCACATGACCGATGTGTTTTTCAGTGGGGTCTTGCAACTTTAAACTACAGTATATTAATTCAATATTTAGTCAATACATGCACTATTTACAGCAACACATATATACAATATAATTATTTAAGAGTATTAATAAAGTCTGATTTCCACTCCAATCGAAACGAAACACAACGCACTTCTTTGTTTCAAGGGCATCTAATTCTATCTGAATGCTCACGAAACAAATACATGGGTGGAAAACAGATAAAGATTGAGAGAGAAAGATAAGTACAAGTGAAGAAGTCATATAGTGGAGGACGAAAGAGAATAAGAGGTTTATACCTCGTATACACACCGTCTTTTTAATAGTTTTTTAAAGTTATGTAATGAAGTAGCGTTTTTAGTTCACTATATTAATTATTCAAGTATTGTTTACTGTGTGTAATAATTGTTTTGTGCTATTGGGGTCGCAGTAATTGGCAATAGCTGTTGTGGTTTCCCAGCCAGTCAATGTGCGTACTTCACAAAACCGGAACTATAAGCGTGACCGCGACATTTTTTCATCCTCCTCATGACGTCATTTTACATTGCCCGATGGCTAAATCAATCAAATCTCTAACCACAACATCAGAATAATGATTCTTCACAGGTATGTTTATTCACCGGCAATAGAAACATCAAAGTAAAAATTTGCCATATATTGGAATACGTGACGAAAACGTTCTGATGTATCTGCATATATAGACCACAATTACGTCAAACTTTATATTGCACACATGCTTTAGCAAACAGTATATAAGGAGTAGGAGGTATAGATAATATAATAGGATTTAATATCTCATTTCAATGGCGATTGGAAAAAAAGTGTGGTATAACTCAATTATCTATAGTTTAAATTAACTCATCTATAATTATATGGAAATGTCAATTAAAATTAGGGAAGAAACAATTTTAGACAGTTAGACTTTATTAAATTAATTAAATGCGGTTATATTGTAGCTAAATAAAGCAATCTTAGTATACGAACACGCCTTCCGGATTGAAAATATTTAAAGCAAAGACTGAAAATAATGCATTGAAAATCGATGTGCTGTGTAGCACATCTGGGACCATCTGGCATAGACAACGCCGTTAACGTTTTTGAATATTCTAAACTGGCATGATGAGAAATATCCATGAAGTGAAATCGTCATGCAAATCAATATTTTCGGGTTTCTTCATATATTACCCGCCGTGACAGTATTTATAGGCGATATAGGAAACAAAAGACATGTTAAAATGTTAGGTTAATCTTCAACTACTAGCCTCAGGAATTGACATACATGTATGAACAGCCGGGTTTATTGAAAATTTGCATATACAATATACTGTGTATACAATATATACGCATGTGTATACAATATTAGTATATTACCCATACAAGAGCATATACAAATTAACGTTTTTGTCAATACCCGATGAAAATTTTGTATTGACTACTGTATTATATTTCGCAATAAATAAGCATTTACATTGCTTTTTGCAATTAACAATACTGACAAAGAGTATATAATAATATCATTACAACTATATAACTAAGGCCTGTTTCATTCGTCGATTGGTCGAGTTTAAAATGATTTCGTTTCAAGGGACGAATTTAACTCAGACGAGTTCATTTCATTAATAATCATGGATTTATACATTGAAATAGAAAACCACCCCAGAATCGGAACCAAACGTTATCATAATTTATGCATTTAATTCGACACGACGTCTATGAAACGAAGAAGCGCTTCATGACGTTGTATATGCGCCTCATAATGACGGATAAAACGTCTTGGAGAAATTTAATTTACCTGACGAATTCAATTCGTTTCATAAGACGCACTACTGTCGCATTTAAATCATTCAATTAAATTCGTCTGAATTAAATTAGACGATAGTGCGACGTATGAAACCTAATAATTATAGTTGCGAGTATCAAATTGAATTGTAAGCAAGTGTAAGCATAAAGCACACGAGTGGCCGACATGCGTCAGTCCCCGTTGCAACTTCGCGCGAACCACTAAGCGCAAAATATTATTAAAAAAAACTAACTTCTATAATATATAACTACTGTAGTTATATTGTTCGGACAAAACCTAACATTAATTAAAAGTTTAGACAATGGCATGCTGATGTAGAACTGTTCAACTCTTTATTTGCAACGTGATATGATACTGAATTATTTTCTGAATTGCCGGATCTGGTCGTTCGTTTCTATTCAAACCAAGAACTTTCAACCGACAACCGTTACTCAGATAGGGTGGGATTTTACCGAGGAAATAACAAAGCTAGTGCAGGTTTAAACCAAAATTTGCGATCAGAAAATATCTCGGAAACCTATGGTGAATATTAAAGAAATACAGAAATATAGATAATACCTCACCTTAGACGCCGATGAATTTGATCCGACTCTAGAGCACTCTTGAGCGAGAAACATATAGTAAGAATAACACTAATTACTACAATTGTTTGAATGAACCAGTAAAGTACGGTTTCCGTTGTTATTCGTCGGCCCATTATTCTCTTTGTATGCGTGAACATTCGAGCTGTGTCGTGTTTGTATACATGTGTCGACAATTATGCATCTGTGATAAGCGTTGACATGTATAAGGTTACGGTGCTATATTGATGAAACGTCAAGTGCCTGATCAAATGATGACATGTTGCGGGGAAATTATTTGAAAAATTGAATTTGCAGATTATCTCAGTTCTGAGAGTATATTATTGTCTTTACCACATCGAATTTGCTTATCAAAAGTGAAACAAATGGGTAAAAATAGCTGAAGTTTCAAACTATTTTAATATTTTAAGAATTTTAGGTTTAAAGTTTAAACATTTGACGCAAGAATTAAATAAATCAGACACCCCTTTTCCGTTTATCTCCCACGGAAATTCGCAAAATACTTGATTCATCAAGATTAGAAATCAGTTGTGAGCAGATTATACGTTAATCCGTTATATATAGCTACGTCATAGAGACTCTAGCTCGGGTTCCATCAGCCTGCGGTTTTAAGGATCGGCCTCCTACTTTTTCGCTATCCGTGCCTCAACCCCAACGGCCCAACCTTCTAAAACCTGCCAGCTACGTTTTGAATGCGAGCAGGCATAATACCTGGTTCACACTGGTCGTAAGAATCGGGGATTTCCATTGTCTCTGGTCATTGGTGTATGACGTTTTTAGCGGACAAAATTCTGATCTGAAATGTATCAATCGAGTTTATGAATTATGCGCTATAAATTGATGTTATGTGCAAATACATCAATGTCATAAACTGATACAACTAAAAGATAAACGACACAACTAAAAGATAAACCGATACAACCAAAAGATAAACCGATAAACTAAAAGATAAACCGATACAACCAAAAGATAAACCGATACAACCAAAAGATAAACCGGTACAACTAAAAAATGAGGAAACGGAAGTAAATACAAAGAAAAGATGAGGAGGCGGAAGTAAATACAACTAAAAGATGAGGAAGCGGAAGTAAATCGGGAAAACGGAAGTAGAGCGACGCGCCAACATACAACAAAATACAGAAAACTTTTTCGTGAATTGGTCGATTTATATAATAAGAAATGCTGAACAAAGTCGCACTCATTGTGACTCGCCAGACTTTTATTGTCGTAGATTAGAAGAGTATGAACGCACATTGAGTGTGTTAACAATAAGAATCGCCAGTGGCGGCGCCAGGGGGGGGCAAGGGGAGGGGCAAATGCCCCCCCAGAATTATTTCCCCCCCCCCATTTTGCCCCCCCCCCTCAAAAAAAAATTATTAGTCACTAAGAGCGACTAAAGGCTACACAAGCGTTCTGTCGTTATCGGAAAATGTATGGCTTATAAGTTGTCATTACTCATTAGTGAATGCGCGTATACATGAAACTGTTTTTTACAGTTTCAATATTAGTTTGTAAATCTCTGAATGGTAAAACTTGCCAATACTCTAATAATACGTTTCAAATTAAAAAAGACAAAAAAGCTTTAGTTTTGCAGAGTTAAATTCTCAAACGTGTAAGGCAATAATAAGATGAAAGTCTCACGAAATTATTTGAATAAACCACATCGCGAATGTCCTAAAGAGGGGCGATATTCCTAGGGTATTCGCCCCACCCCCCTGGGAGGCGATATTCCTAGGAATATCGCCACGTTTTGAGAGGGGGGGGGGGCAAATTTCCTGGGGGGGGGGGCGACCTTTTTAAAAATTCTATCTTGCCCCCCCAAAATTCGAGTTTGCCCCTCAAATTTGGAAGCCTGGCGCCGCCACTGAGAATCGCCGAATAATACACACATTAGTTATACACAGACGCATTATTTGGTATACAGACGAATTCTAAGTACGTGGTATTCGGAAACGAGAATTCAGTTCTTCGGATAACGATGTAAACTGCTGCACTGACCCACCTTGTGATTTCTTCGCGTGTTTGCGAAGAATGCTGCAAATTGGTCACCGCGCTTAAGATTGACTGACCAAAATCCTGAACATTTGGTACTCAGTACTCTCACTAGTACTCTGCCCTTTCTCTCTTCTGCCATGTTTTTCAATATGTATTCACTAGCTTGGCGCCACTTAGCACGCGCGATTTTGCCGAGTCGCTCTACTTCCGTTTTTCCAATTTACATTCGCTTCCTGATATTTTAGTTGTATTTACTTCCGTTTCCTCATCTTTTATTTGTATTTAGTTCCGTTTCCTCATCTTTTAGTTGTATCGGTTTATCTTTTGGTTGTATCGGTTTATCTCTTAGTTGTATCGGTTTATCAATTAGTTGTATTGGTTTACCTTTTAGTTGTATCGGTTCATGACATTGATGTATCTGTACATAACATCAATGTATAGCACATAACATCAATTTATAGCGCATAAACTCGATTGATACATTTCAGATATTTTGTCCTCTAAAAAACTTATATTGGTGTCTAAAATGCTTTGTCTGTCGGAGAAGAATACAATAGATCGCCGATGAATCACGACCAGAGTGAACCAGGCTTTAAGTGGAAATAGCATGAATGGGGGGCCCCCTCCATGAATACTAGCATTTATAACTAGAAGTTACCATCGCTAGGGGGAAATGCTGCCGTATGGCCAGAAGTTGTTATTCCCCCTGATTGCAAATATCAGTCAAACCAGCGGAATGAAGAAGATAATTGCCCTTTTTACCGGAACTGCACTTTGAAATTTGTGCGTTATTCACAAGAATTGGAATTTATAACTGTTAGTTACAACAACAACAACAACAACAACAACAACAACAACAACAACAACAACAACAACAACAACAATAATTTTTATTCCAACCATAAAAATTATTTACAATATGCATATATATATATATGCATATACACATATATACATACACATACACACATACATATGTTTTGGGTTTTTTTGAGGTTGACTAGGTAGTATTGGTAAAAACCTAGAGAAACCATACGGGCTTATCAAGCTAGGCAACCAAATACTCAGAGACAATAAAAGTCCTTGGACTATTAGTAAGTTTTATCGGTCGGTCGGAATAGTGTACAGAATACTAACTCAACAAAAAACAAAAAAACACGAAAACACAAATAGAGAGATTTTTAAGTTAATTAATAATAAGTTAACATTTTAAGCAATGTTTAAGCGATCTTTGCTTAATATTTAACCAGTTGTAGTAAAATTAATGCTCAGTAAATCAAGCAATATACGTCCGTTTACTGAATTAATTTGCGCCCTCAGCAAGGTTTAATGGCGAAATTTGCCGACCCATAATAGCCACAAGTAATCGAGTATCCATACAGCAAAGTTTTAACAAATATTGCCACCCAGAAAAATGATGGCTGAGAAGCAAGTGCCCTTATGAAATGGTTGCTCCAGTTGCCCCCACCGCTTCACATTGCTTCCGGTATTACAGGAAATCCCCCCCCCCCGAAAATTTGGCCGGGAAATATGCCCCCCTTCAGGAATTTGGCCCCCTCTAAAAAATTATAGTTTACTTTATCTTTTAGCTCGGAAATCGTGAAGCTTCCACTAAAACCAAATTTCTAGAAATGTTTCTCACCATTTATAGTTACTTTGTGTAATTTTTTTGTGTCAAAACAAAATTCTGCACTGAATTGCAATACTGACGAGAATTAGGCCAAGAGAATTGCTTACAACACTGACGGGTTTTATGTAGCTGGATGTAACCTTTGTTTTTCTGCGTGTTTGCGGAATGTTTTTGTGAGTCATCCAAACCTTGTGCTTTTGTGTTTGCGAAATGTTTTGTTAGCCATGCAAACCTTTGTGCCGTTTCTGTGTGCGGAATGTTTTTTGTGAGCCATGAAGCATACAGTCTACTTCCGTTTTTACGGAATGCTTCTGTAATGCATCCCAACCATATGAGCGATTATATATACTGTGTAAGTAAAATGCATAGGAAAATTCGGCCTCGTTGTCTATGAGCAAATAGTCAACTCGGCTTCGCCTCGTTGACTATTCGCTCATAGACAACTCGGCCTCGTTGTCTAATTGTTAAATAGTCCTAGTTTATCATAGTTTCTTCTATATATTGTTTGTAATGCTTTAGCAATACTGTAAATTTATGGTCATGCTAATAAACTATTAATTACCAACCCAGAAAGTGCATTTCCAGCTAACACCCCCCCCCCTCCCTGCACAGTCCAAACAACATGAATTTATCGCCTTGACAAACCGTTACTGAAACATACAGGGCTGTTAAACTCACGAAATACCCCTATATCGAATACTAAAAAGTTCACCGCCTAGTTCAAGTATGTCAACAGAAAGAAATAAACCCATCCTTACTTGAATTATTGTAAATATTGTAGATCGTTTGCATCCATACTAAAAAGCCGTAAAATCTTACTATACATTAGGATACTCGTCAACTTAGGTGGGCCTAACATGTAGATTATCCCATCCTAAACCTTCCAAAAGATCACTCGATCTAATTCTATCATCATATCTTGCTCCAGTGATAACTCTGGCCGCACAATTTTGTAGTATTTGCAATTTATCTTTTAATATTTTATCGCATGTATCCCACAGGGGAGAGCAATAATCAAAATATGGCTGAATTAATGATTTGTATAATGTAACAAGAGAACTTTGCATGACCATGAAGAACGAATCGTTTAATTCTCCTCAATGCTCCTATGCCTGAACAGATCTTCTTGCATATTTCTTCAATATTGATATATCAAAGGTCAACCTGTCATCAAGATCAACTCCAAACATTTATTCGAGACAACAGATGGAATTACGTTATTGTTCATGATAATGCTGTTGTAGGCTACAAGTCACCAACTTTGTTGGTCAAATTTTGCTGTCAACTTTGTTGGTCAAACCTGCTCGTCTGATGACGCCAAATTTCCTTCGGTTTCACGTACGAATAGAACTGCCTAATGATGTTAATCAAGTCAACTAAAGAGAAACTCAAATGATACAGAACGACAAATGAAAAAACCCCGAAAACTCGAGAAGATCCAAGTGTGGTTGAAGAAATGGCATTTGGAGAACTCGTACCATGACCAACGACGTACAGGGATCGATGTCCTATTTAATCTAACAATAAATACCAATACAAACATATCTACACATAATCTCCATACAGTAACATGGCCCGCTCTTGTTTGGGCAGTACCCTACTACAATATAGCAATACTCGGTGCTAACCTCACAAATTGTCCCCAGAGAAATAGAGAAGCACCACAACGTCTCACGTATTATGCACCTCGACATTCAGCCTGTTTTAATTGTGCAGCAAAGATTACACAATTCCAGCAACCAGTCCTACACCTTACCAATTCCAAGAACCATCCAGTCCCAAAATCTTATATTCCAGCAACCAACCATGCAGTTCCAAAACCTTGTCAATTCCAGCAACCAGTCCCACAACTTTATCAATTCCAACAATCAGTCCCAAAACCTTATCTATTCCAGCAGTCAGTCCCACAACCTTGTCAATTCCAGCAACCAATCCAAAAACCTTATTAATTCCAGCAACCAGTCCCTAAACCTTATCTATTCCAACAACCAGTCCCACAACTTTATTAATTCCAGCAACCAGTCGGCTAAAAGTATTTTAGCCTGCTAATTTGTTCATTTTAGCCCGCAAAATAGCTACAACGCCCGCTAAAGTTATTATAATACATGGCTATCAGCTTTGATTTGGTTCCAGTGGCTCTTAGCGAAGCGACAGAAACAAGAGACTAGAAGGAAGAGCCTCTGGTCACATCAGTTGCAAATCCCACTTCCACACATGATTAAGTTCAGAATTTGAATCTCGCATGTGATTGGCCATTTGTAAAAATATGTCAAACCGGTTCGGGAAATAAACATTATTGTAAGCTATTTATAGCTATAATAGCTATTATAGTTATAATTCTAACTTCCAATTGACTAACTTACAAAATGTATAAAATTGTAATAATCTGTTTAAATGTAATTGTTTATATTCAATTGTCAATAATTATATCAAACCCAGTGGCTGCCAGGCGAAGACATTTATAATTGTAACTTCCAATTGACTAACTTACTAAATGTATATTATTGTAATAATCTGTTTAAATGTAATTGTTTATATTATTGTCAATAATTATTTCATTATCTTTGTTATAAATTTTAGATCGCCATGCAAGGAGGCATATATTAATATACAACTCTGAGTTTCACGCTGAGTGTGATCATCAGATGACGGCGTTACAAGTGACGGTTGAATCACAGAGTAAATATACATATGCTGAGCTGTAACTGACCGTTGTAAACACTGCGGAACTTATGTTTTCATGTACCCACTTTTTTTCAGGCGACTGGGCAAAAAATGATCAACTGCGCGTGCTCGGCAAGTTCCACGAGCAGCTGAAGCGAGTCGTCATCCAATCAGATGCATGCATCTAGTAACTTGCCGAGCATGCGCACAAAAAAAAGTGGGTACACTAGTTACAACTCTGTATATGTATTTACTCTGTGGTTGAATCTTCCGTATGATAACGTTGGACTTATATTTGGATTATACGCGTGATGGCACAGCGCGCGCGCGTTCAAACTTTCCAAAACTATTGAACAAGAAGTGCCGCCACCGGAAGCGATTCCTCGCGGGAAAGTTTGAACGCGCGCTGTGCCATCACGCGTATAATCAGGCATAAGTCCAACGTCATCATACGGAAGATTTAACCACAGATGAGGTAAATACAGATATAAATCTCCCGTCAAATTGCTGATTATTTTGTGTCACACGGAATTCGCACTTCCGGCGAGCGCTGGCAAGTGTCGTTCTGAAATTTAATAAGGAAAGTAATAGGAAAACGCCGTTCGAAAGACGAAAAATTATTTTTTTAAAAGCTGCGCTACCAACGGCTATTTTTGGACTGAATTTTTCAATTTTTCATTTTGCTGGAAATTTCAGATGCTCATGTATAAATAACAAAACAACGAATGATATAAATTCTTCAAAATATAACTCTCGCATAAAAAAACATGAATAGTTCTATAATATGTATAGTTTTATTTCTCTGCATTATCAAAATTTAATAAAATAGTGAATTAATTTAAAATTATAGTGAATATAATTTAAAAGTTTATTTGATCGGTGTGACATAATTTGACATAATTCGTCTATATAATTTGACATAATTTGACATAATTCGTCTACATAATTTGACATAACTGGTATCAATGGAACGATTGGAATGTGCGTTTCTGGATGTGAGGAATTGATGTTGTAAAATTAGTATAGTGTTTGTGTTAGTAGTAGTATACTTAGTATAATAGTATTTGGTAGCTTTTTTAGTTATTCATTCGTGTTAGATCACTTTCCCGCCACAAACACATGCATGTGACAATTGCCATACATTCAACTGAACGGCTACTAGGACAAGCGCCAACTATATAAACATTCCCACGAATTCAAAGAACTATGGCGCAGCATGGACAATAACACAATCAACATTGACATTTCAACGATCTAACTTCAACTTAACACTTCCGGCTTTAACATCCAGAAACGCACACTCCAATCAGCATGCAGCAAGAAAATTTATCCACCTACCTATATAAAATAATACATTCTTCAACCACCAAAGAAATGAGATCGTCATGAACACCCACGCAATCAGACGCTAGCTCCCAAACGTATAGATGCATGCAAGAACGCAACAAACCTATTTGTACCTCATCACCTGATTACAATGGCACAAACGTCCCTCTCTTTTCAAGTCACTATTGAATTTCCTTTATTCAATAATATGAAATTCGACCATAGCTCGAGAATACAAGAGAATGTTGACTTTATCCTCATTTTCATAATCTGAATATGACTTAGGAGCAACGGCTATTACTACAGGTGCATCTAGCCCACTAAAGCGCCGGAAACTATCCACTACCAAACCTCGGCGGGGAAACTCTTCGGCATCGGTGACACTTATGCTTGACGCCTCAATATGTTTCGCAAAACGTTCAGCTATATCCTTCTTGTTGAAAAGAACTGCAACGTCACTTTCCTTGTATACCTTATCGTCTAGAATTTTAACAATTGTTTCTTTAACTGTACTGAAAATTTCGTCGGAACTCGATAAATTGACAACATTAACTTCGCGTCCCTCGTAGTCATGACCTATCCCCAGTTGATTTCTCTTTTCGAAATCCGACTGCTTGAGTGCAATCTTTTCCCATTGCTCGTAGATCTTTCTGCTGTTGCGAATCACAGTACTGAGGCGGCATTCTGTGGGAAAAAGATTTGACATCTGATGCTCGCCTTTTGAATCTAATATGCTCAATCCACAGTATTCACGCCTGATCTTTTGGAGCTGATCACAGAAAATATACAACGAAGTGTTATCGTAGTGTTGCTGTGAATCGTTCGGCCAGTTTAAGATCTTGAAAATACTTTTGAACCAATCCTCTCCAGTTTCATTTCGAAAGTTTTGCGCTTCGTCCACCACCACGTGTCGGACACAATTAAACTCATCATATCCTTTGTGTTTGATATCCAACATAAACTTTGCTCTTGTTATTGGAATGCAAATACCATGTAACTCCGACCTAAAAAAGTAAGTACATAATTATTAATGTGTTGTGCAAGTTTCGTAGACAAGTTATGCATGGGCTGGGGTGTGGAATACCGTTGAGAGTGCGATTTCCATGAAAGATGTCCAATTCTCCGGAATATGAACAACGACTATTTTATGAAAGAAACTATTATGAAATGCATCACAATAACTCGTTTGCCCGAGAACTGTTTACAGCTACTAGTAACTCCAGAAGAAGGGTCGAAATTTCGAAACTCTCCTTATATATTTTCAGATAGTTGCATGCCTACTGTACCAAAGAAAGCTTGTTCATATTATTGGCACTACCTAGACTGGCACAGACAGTTCAAGTATATGTAAAACTTTGCCGTCTTGGTGAGTGTGACTTTATTTCCCCCATGAAGAGCGTTACAAAATAAATTCGATGCTGTACTATAGCATGCATAGAGTTTTGTAGTTGGTCCAAGGACGACTTTGTCGAGCTGTCTCCAGGCTTGGATATACGCGTATAAGAAGTAAATACAGTAAATTTATTAATAAACTATTTAAAGCCGAAATTACAGCCCCAGCGTCCTGAACATACCCCGCTCCTCTCAGCAACCCGATAACATCAACTATACAGCTGCCAGCTTGCAAGTTGTGTTAAAAACTTTAAGCAAAAGCAGCCAACTGTATGAGGCCTAACGCCTTTCAGCGTCACCATTGTAATGTTCGTGGTTTTGTATCAATATCAAGCACTTTTAAGTATAACAATAGATATCAAACAACTTGTGCAAACAGCATAGTACGTATCCAATTACTTCCTGGTTTCCTAGCCTCGTGCTTCTAAAATACTTAACTAACTTTCTAGTCACGTGTGTGCTAGTGTCAATAATGTCAACATTGCAGGGCCCGGAAATCGTCGTGATCGATCGTAAAACGTACGTACCAAATGTGAAATAAACGATTTTTCAATCGGTTTCTCAACAAAAACAATTAGTTGAACATCGTTCACATGCGTTTTTATAAGTTATGAGGCGATTTCTTGCAAGTAATTATCTGGTAATTCTCTCGTTGATTGCGATTAAAAATAGACTTTGGCGTGGACATGCGCCAGCGGGAGAGTCGAGAGGGACAGGGGGCCTGTGTTCACCAATTAGTCATTTTGTCCCGGGGCCCGTGGTTGGCTCTCGCCGGCCTTAGTTGTGTTAGATCTAGTATACGTAAGGAACATAAACACGCGAAGTTTTTGTCAACACGGGCATCAAATTGCCAAGGGCGGAATGCAATTGAAAACGTGTTTGTGTCAGTTTGTGCTGGATAAAGCAAGTTATTTTTTCTATGGATTCGGCAAATCTGTCTTTCCAATGGAACAAATAGCTTCGCGACAACAGCGATATTCGAGCAATCGAGGTCACCAACTAGCAACTCATATCGGTAGAACTTACACGAACACCTATAAAAACACAAAATTATTTTTTTACTACAGTGTCTGAGATCTCCAAAAATTGAATAACGACTAGTGATGCACAAACGGCGGTAATGTACTGTAGTTGGCTCAAATTGTATAGTATTTTAACAAAAAATATAACAATTTCATGATTTTGCTGCATTAAGATTGCTTCTGTATATTTATCTTTCTCAGTTTAAAACGCAATCTTCAGACTTGATCTTGGGCATTTGAACTTCTTTAAAACGTCATATACTGTATACTACAGCAAGTCAGTAGACACAAATACATCATGTTATTATAGCGTTTATATACCAAACTTTTACTTTACATAAAATTTTGCGTAATTATGGCCGCTTTATAAGTGCACTTATCACTCGCTGGACTTATATTCGCCAACAGACACAATTAAGGTTGAATATTTCATTGCCTAAACGCTTTAAATGTAAATTCTGGCACAGTTCGGGATTCAATTGCAAGACTTCCCTACGTGTTGAAGGAATTTGTGGAAGAAAATTTCGAATGTAATTTTTGCCATGCATTTTGCCAGCACTGCCCGAGGGCCTATAGAATCATTTCGCAACTGCTCCGGGCCTATAATAAATGTATAAAAATCACTATGTTCCGAGCAAAACGTAAAATCTACGACCCCGTGAAAGAGAACGACAAAATTACGTGATAAAAGACCATGGCAATGTTGCAAGGCTTGGCCGTTTCCTATTAATAAATATCCCATGGGAAATTATATTGTCTTGCAATCTTTCACTATATGGCTTAAATATGATGCCAGAAATATAATTTAAAGTACACGCAACTGACCGTCCATGGATGACTAGCACCTTGAAACACTTCTTTTACAACATTTGAACAAAATTGTGTTTAAACTGCATGTTACGTAAATGTAAATCGAGAGAGAAAACGCTGTTGTAATATTTATAATAAGAATAAAGTTCGCAATCTCCAAGATTCGAAGCCTAAAGACTGGTGGCGAGAGGTAAAACAGCTTAATGGATTGCAATCAACACGGCCAGACCTCAGATCTATGATTAGGTTTGACGTAGAGGACAGTGATCATGAAGATTTAGGAAATAGGATTTATCGGAGGACTTTTCAGTGTCATGAAAGATTTAATTTCCCTTTGTCGGAAGATTTTATCCTATCAAAAATGTCTCAGAAATAACAGTGGAAAGACTACTATACGTGCAATCAGAGTTTCCAAAGCTAGTGGTCCCGATCAACTACCCAACTGAGTTCTCAAGTGCTTTTTTACATTCTGGCAACTGCAATTGCCGATATATTGAATGCATCCTTTCGAGAATGTAAGGTTCCAAAGCCATGGAAAATAGCAGATGTTAGGCCTAAGTAGGAATCAGGAAAGTTCTCATTGCTAAAGATCTGAAGGTCGCGTTATCGCCAAATCTAAACGTATCCACCAAGCTCAGCCTGTATCCACCAGTAAGATCTCATATCCACCAAGCTCAGCCTGCCCGGATCGATGCGTTCTATAAATGCTAAGTAGTTAATAAGCGAGCAACACGTACGGAAGGTATTATTTGTATTTTCCGCTCGATTATTTAGCACTAAAAAGACGATCAACGATCGCGGAAGTCTGCCTATGGCTCATCGCGCGTTGAGTAGTGATCTCACCGATCGCAACAATTTAAAAATAAAATGTAAGGGAAAACAGTTTCATACAATGACCTGTGAACAAAATTTTCATTTTTCCTTGGTAGAAATGATGAGAAGTGATTTATTGATGCGAATTTGTGAAATAAAAGGCATACTAGCTTGTAAGGCTGCTTTGGAATTTTCCTAAACAAATCGGGGTAGGGTACGTGTATTAAGGTTTCCCATATTATCCGCCTATTTTATGTTGAGAAAAACTTGGAAAGGAAAGGGAAGAAAAATGTTTTTGTAAATAGTTCTGTAAATCAGTACCATTTGAGATGATTGGAATTTGAAAAATACTTCCTAATTATTGATATGTTGAGGGGCGGATCCAGCGTTGTGGATGACCGGTTTACTAGGTCGACAAAACCACTAGGGGTGTCCGGGGGCATGCTCCCCCGGGAAATTTTCAGAATTTGGGCCTCTGAAACAGCATTTCCTGTGTTCTGACGTCACTTTTAAAATTAATTTAATGGTCAGAAAATACATATTTTTAAGAAAATTTTGGACTAATACGCAGCTCAAACAATGAATTGAACCTTTTCGGAAACTTATTATAGCTAATGATAAAAATATATACGATTGGCAAATTGCTGACGCATCTATATTTATTATAAGTACAACAAGTAGAGATGCTATTAATATAAACATAGTCGTAATTTTAGATCTATACGCTTTCAAACCAACTAGTTAACAGTGAAATAGAAACCAAACTGCAAGAGCGTAAAACTAAAAGCTTCACAATCTTTTCCTGATTCTCTATCGCGAAACGAATGATTCGGTCACGCAAATTCGCGCTATCATGAGTGTCGACTGTAGAGGTTACGTACGTATAAAGATCGATACGCTTGTTGAAGGATCGATATTTATTATACATTAAGTAGAAATAGCTTACAGTTATAACTTTAGACGATATACTTTTAAACAAACCTTAAAAATGAACAAGAAATCCATGTAAATGCTTCTACCGCCAACGCAATGATTCAGTCACACAAAATCATAAACATATTTCGCGCGTCCTCGAGTTCTGTTCACTTTCATGCCCAGTTTTCTCTAAATACTGCTCGACTCACAGGTTTATGACCGGTTTACATCCGGCTGAGCGCGACCGGTTTACTCTCATTGAGAAAACTGTGACCACCGGTTTACTCATAATTGCTGGCGGTTATGTGTGATTCATACGATTTTTAACAGTCCACGACCCACGACGATATATTAGCAAATTCATTAGTCTAGTATTACAACATTTCGTAAGAGGAAACCAACGCGATAAGTCCTTAATTAATTAAATGCTTATTATGTAAGTGGGTTTAAATACGCTCGGTAATCCATAATCAAATTTCAATATGTAATATGAAACAGAATATTATTTAAATTAGTTATATACATGGAAGGTTATAGATTTTCTTTCTTTGGAAAATCTGACAGGTTTACATAAACCTGTCTGAACCCGCCCCTGATTTTGTTCAGGGAAGAAAATGAACGTTTGAAATAATTTAAATTAACTTTTCAAATCATTTTGCGTAGCGTACAAGTTTAAATTTTACATTAATGCGTAAAAGCATACATATATAGACTCCTTTTTGGAAAATGATTATTCAGTAATAAAAAAGGTAATTTTTGATTTTGCTGATAATTTTGTAAAATGTACAAATACAAATATACAAAGTTACTACGTAAATACAAATTTAAACAAAGCAACATTACCACGTTACCATTATAACTCGTGTTGCTTGTCGCGGTGCCTGACTTAAAGACTGTAAATGTTGTTTTGATTGGAAGGGGAAGAACCCACCGGAATTCCAGGAACGCTGTACAGATCGCTCAGAAATCCACCGGAAACACCTGCAACTCCCATCCGCGAAGCAAGCTGCTAAGAAATAGTGCTGGCCTTATTTGCTTGATCAGTAGTTGCATCAATGGGATTGAAAAATTACAATGAACGAGCACATAAGAAAAAGTTGTCCAAGTGAAAATAAAATCAGCTCACGATTCATCATCATTACCGAAATAATTATATGTCATTATTTTACAACCATTTGCGGATAGCTTACCGCTCTCCAGTCGCACTAATTGGAAATAGATAAGTTGACTCGTTGTTTTAATCACGATTTTAAAACCTAAGGTAAATTTTTAAGAAAAATAGTATTGAAAACAAAGGTACTGTATCTCTTCATGCACCATTTGCGAAACTAGTGTTAACGGATGTCTTGAAAATATTTTACAGGGAGCGAATCCCGGCAGCACTCTCCCTTCCCGTTGGACACATTTCTTTTTAATCGATTGCAAATTTATGCTGAGGTCGTGGAAGTATTTTTCAGTCCCACACGCGTAATTATATCCTCCCGTGCGCCTATTAGCAAATCTTCTTGGACTTTTTGTAGAGTATCCCGCTGAATCCAAGGGGAGTCCCAGGTGTACTTCGGGTAGGATTCCGTGTCTTCGTATTTGGTTTGATTACAATACAACTTCCAAGCTTGTTCTGGCAAGATGAGGATTCTACGGATTTTTTAATATAAAGACTAAAAAAAGATTAGCTTGCTTTCCCTAGGTGTTTTGAAACAACCACGTCCAGCAAAGAGCTTCGCTCCGCTTAAAGCTATCACTTGGCAAAATGTTTGTCAATTTCTTGGCCAAAAATATTGTTCTGCAGCGGGTGTTCGAGTACTTGCTTTGAAATATGCAAAGACATCGAGTGTGTTATTGCATGATCATCTGATTGTTCGTCAGTGGTATAAGCAATCACGGGAAATTTTTATTTCTCGCGAGGATACATGACAGGAATTCATGATGGCTGAAATTCCCAAATCAGCTCACATAAAATCAATCATTCCAAAAATTGACATTATTGTGTCACCATTGCAATGAAAATATATAGTATGCACATCACATATCCCAAACGGAACCCGCTGACACAAAATCCTGTGTTTTTGGGCGAAAATGTCGCTACAAAACATGAAGTGAAGTTTTTGAGTATAGTCGGGGAGTTTCGAATTAAAGTGTGTCCAATGTATGGACTTGAACGCATCTTTTGGGTCATTAAAATAATTAAATTCGTATCTAATAAATTACTTTGTTTTAAATTAAGTATAGTACTATTTCATATGATTTAGAAATCATGACTTTATACCTTTAAATCATCTAAATCATCATAAATTTATCAAAATTAAATTTAGTACTGGAATTTTCCTCAGAGCGTTATTGGCAATTTCAGTGAAGATTACCGAACAAAAAAAGAAGAAAATGACAACGCCAAAACATTCTGAAGCTTAGATATTCAAGAAGAATGTTAGATGTATCGAACTGACACAGATTATCTAACATCAATTTAAGGGTCCCCTTGCTTTGTGGGGCGACATTTTCAGTTGGAGGTTGTCCACTGAACTATACTATATTACTACTAGTAGACCTGCTCGGCATAAAAATGTGAAGCCAGAGACATGGCGGATTTCGGCCTTTCCTGACGCCATTTCCATGACAACTGGTCCGTATATTTCTCATGTTAATTACCACTTACCAGGCTAGGATTTGAGCCCGCTACAATTTCCACACCCCCTGGTTTTCTGAAAAACTTTAGGTTTTTGAAATTTTATCGGGTTTTATAGTATTTCTCTATTCGGTTATTGTCACAAAGTTGTGCAAATCGTACGTGTTATTCTTTCCCGGGAAAGACAACAGACAAATATTCAAACCTCGCAAAATATCAGGAAAGAAGAGATTTGAATCAGCGAGCTTAAACAGGTATTGTTTATATTGTATATATTTTTTATTTGTATATAACAAGATTTTAAATTAATCAACTAATCATTTAAAGTGTGTTTAAAGAGAAATATAGACGATATGTCTTCGAAAAGCACAAAGTTATTCAATTTTATTTATGCTTTATCTTATTTTACATAAAATTGGTAGGCTTAACTTAGTTAAGCTTAACGATGAAATGCACTCTTGTTGTTTAAGAAAACAGCATTTGCTGGGTTTTTTTGCAATCTGTATATTACACAATTTGATTGCAGAAACTACAAGTTTTTGTTATTTATAAATTACTTTAGAAAGAGCTATTAAATCCAGACGTTCTTTCAAAGCAAACGATATGTCCGGTATGTGTTTAAATATATTCAGGTTTTGTGTAATATGTGCCAAATTTCCATACAAGGCTGATGAATGACAAGACTTTTGAGCATATTGCATCGCCACAGCGTAGTTATATGGCCATCGCCACAGCGTAGTTCCATGCATGTAAACAGTGACAAGTCATGACTAAATTTAAATACAGTAATTAGCTTCGGCTTATTTCCGTGATCTGTCGGCCGTCGCCCTATTGGTCGACACGAAATCGTAACTGCGCGTAAAAGTGGATAGTTGCAAGCCATATAATGGCTTGCAACAAAAAGTAACAATATTTTACATGTAAACAAAAAATCCTTATAAATTTCCTTAACAGGTTTCAATTTTCCTCAAAGGAATTTTCAATAATTTTTTAATTTCTGAAGATTTCATTGGAATGTAAGAAATTACATAAATAGAAAGTGGAAATTTAACTGTGGTCATACAGGTTTCACAGGAAAATATTTCACTCAGTCAATGGTGTGATTAAAACTGTTTTATGACTAATTCGGTAATATTTGGCTAACAGAACAAGCGCACATGTTTATTAAAGTGGTGATTATTTTAAAGGTATGTTGACTGGCTGGTGACAACTTTTAATGAGGAATTGCCAGATGAAAACTGGAGGATACCAGACCCTCATCCATCTGCTGTTTAAGGGACTGGTCATTATTTATGGATGGGGGAGGGGAATTTTTTTCTTTCCTAAATTTAATGATAACCCCCCCTACATATTAGAATATTTTTCTTTGACCCCCCCCCCATTTTCATTTTTACTCGATAAATGGGGATACCAAGGCGTTATAATGTTAATTATTAATTAAATAAAAATATGGAGCTGACAAGATATTAACGTCGACCAAAAATATATATTAGCAGAAAATTATAATTAAAAGAGGGGTATTTTCATATACAACGCTAAAATCAAGTTTCCAATTGGTCTGGGCGATTGTAACCATGTTTAACGGCAGAGAATTAATATTAGTGTTTGGAGGCAGGTGCCGTTTGTGGTCCAAGGCTGTAACTAGATTTGATGGCAAAAGTATTGCCATAGCAGCTGCGTAGCAATGAGAGTAACAATCAGTAATATTAGCAGCAAAAGGAGATAGCCATGAAAATTCTGGACATTCTGCCAAGGCGTACCTCCGGCACCAGTTACGCTGACAAGTCAGTGGAAACAAAATATAATGTATAGTGGTTTATACATCCTATTTTATGTGAGATTAAAAATTATATAAAATAAAATGGCATACTACCAGATAAAATCCTCTAGAATAAACATGGGTGGGTGCGTAGGGGAAAGGTATCTAAGCGCTAAACTTGCTGCAGCTAGGCAAAGCATACAATGGCAGTATGAATACCCAGACCGAAGCACTGATCACAAGGCGCGAAACAACCCCCTTTAATCGATATGAAGTCACAGACTCCCATCAGTGGATGTGGCCTGCATAATACATTCGCCGTTAACCTTGCTTAAATGTATTTAACCACATCAAGATAGCTGATGTAATAATACATTGTCAATTTATCTCTGCAATCAGTAAAGACTGATTTGCATACAGCACACAGAAGACAAAATAAATCCAGACTATTTCACATCAGTGACCATGATTTAGTCGCAATTACAACCAAATGGATACCATGCTTATTAAGCAAATTCCTTCAAATTTAATTGCAGCTCCCCCCTCATTTTCTTTAAAAAATGTAATAGCTCCCCCCACCTCCCCTTCTAGTCATTTATTTATACATATGGCCCCTCCCCCTCATTTTTCCCTCCCCCCCTTCCATAAATAATGACCGGTCCCTTAGCGCTAACAACAGTGGATAATGGTGACAATGATTACCACAGGTTAGTTAATACTGTAGAAAGACACACTAGATGCAGTGCAGCGTATTGTTTGAAACAGAAAAAAGTGGACCGGCTTGCAGAATGCAGATTTGGTTTTCCAAAGCCATTACAAGAAGAAACAGAACTGAGTCTTGAGCTGGTGGTAAGTAAAAATACTAAGTCTTTTGAGTCTGAGTTACATACCAAACGAAATAATCAAAGATTAAATTCGCATAACAGGGTGATGCTCGAAAACTGGCGGGCAAATATAGATTTGCAAGTCATTGTAGATGAGAAGGCTTGTGCAAGATACATGACCAAGTATGTTGCGAAAGGAGAACCCCGATCGAAATCGGCGTCAGAAATACTAAATTTGTCTGTGTCCTCATTACAGAATGATGATCAAGTCTCTTCGGCCTTCAAGAAAGCAATGATCCAAGTTGCTGGGGATAATAATAATAATAATAATAATAATAATTTAATATTTATATCGCGCAAATTTACATGAGAATATGATCAAATGCGCGTAACAAAGATATAGTAATTGTAATAATATTTACATATACTAAAATAAGCGGATAAATCTATGTACAATATGCAATTTGAAAAAGATATGTTTTCAATGAAGACTTAAAGCTATTAAA